TAAAGTACATTTTTTGTATTTTTTCAAGTTTATGAAAAATACATAAACTAAAATTTATATATATATTTTTGTAATTTTTCCTTTTGCGACGAAATAAAGTAAAATAGTCAAAATAACTATATTAGACCTAAATTACATATTTATGCTAAAAATGTGAAAATTCTCGGGGAGGGTCAAAAATCACGTATCTACAGTAAGTAGACTGATTAGGACCTTACTGTCAAGTTTATAAAAAACAAAGTTGCATAATTCTGTGCATTGACATCCACTTAGATATCTTGTTTAAGTCCTTTCTCTAATAAAACTAATCTTGTTCGTGTTTGAGACGTGCTGCTTATGTGCATTACTTGTGGAGGTAAACCTGGGCCTCTTAAGTACTTCTTTCTACATTTATCTGTTAAGTCCTATGTGTTCTTGCCTTTCGCCTAGAATTTTCTCCTTTTAAAAAACCTTAGGGGTCGTCTAGAACTATCCAGATTTAGAGGTCCTAAAATACCTATAGGGCCACAGGGAAAGCGATGGGTAATGCACGCATAGGACATTGTCAAGGTTACTAGAACGCTTTAGGCTATGACCAGGGGGAGAGGCTTGGGCAGAACGGGATATGATGACTACGCGCTAACGTTACGTGTAGCCCCTCATTGAGGAGTATTTACCGGGCATTACGTAGGGTGATCTTGTAGGCTAAACAACCAAGGAACCTTCCTTTCCCAAACTCCTTTTACTTAAAACTTTCTTTTTATGTATACAATTTGTTCAAATCTCTTGTCTTATTATTTGAGTCATACAATGTCCAACATGATTTATTTGCAATTATTTGTTTCAACTACTTATTTGTTAAAGGACTAATTCATAAGTATAAGTTCGGTCGGGACCCACCGTTGTGGATCGAGAAGGGTGCCTAATGCCTTTCCCTCAAGATTATTTCGAGCTCTTACCCTAAATCTATGTTAATGCAGTCGCCATAATCCGTTAGGTTTCAAATACCCAATTTCCCAAAAAAAAAAAAAATGAGTTATCACCCCTCTGTAATGTGGAAAGCCGAACCTTCTCTCTCCCGCGTAGGGAAAAAAAGGCGGCGCGACACGCCACTGCCCACAAGCAGCCCTACTCTTCCGAATTAGATAACTAGATTTCATGTTCTTTTGGTGGCAAGTTGCACGAAGTTGACGATGGAGGTAAATGCAACTTAAAAAATTATGAACAATCTGATCTAATTAAAAGGGGAAAATGATATTCGTCCAAAAGAGCAGGTACAAATATCGAAAAGGAGCCAAGCGAACAATGAAGATACAAGTACAAACATAGCCCCACAATTACTGGGTTGCAATTGACAATGGAAAAACTGGGCGATGATTTATTAGTTCTAATAATCAATAGGATTCATGATCCTGCCTATAGAAAATCCCTTTCTCAAGTTTGTAAGCAATGGTTCAGAGTTGAAGGCTTAACTCGATCATCCGTACGTATTTTTGAACCCAATCTTCTCCTTAATTTCCTTCCAAGATTCTCTAATTTGCGCAAATTTGAATCATCTGAACATATCACAAATACCCATCTTGAAATCTTGGCTGAAAATTGCCCAAGAATCCAAGTTCTTAACCTTAGTTTCAAGAAAAAGAGCAGGTTTTGTGATGAAATGGATGAAAATTTAATCTTGGATGATTTTAATGAGAATGGTTTGTGTTTTATTGCAAAAGGTTGTTCTTGTATTAATACAGTAAATTTGAGGAAGAGAAGTGGAGTTGGGGATGCTGGGGTTGTTTCTCTTGTTAGCTTTTTGCCAAAGTTGATAGCTTTAGACTTAGGTTTTTGTGATAAGGTTAGTGATGAGTCGCTTAGAGTTATTGGAAGTGGTTGCTGCTCTTTGAAGAGCTTGAATTTACAGGGTTGTTGGTTGGTATCAGATGAGGGTTTGAAATCATTGGCAGAAGGACCTCTTAGAATTAGTTTGAAGAAACTAATTCTTGCTGAATGTGATAGGATTTCAGATACTGGGGTATTGAGTTTGATGCAAATGTGTTGCTTAGAGGAATTTGATTTGGCAGAATGTGGACCGAATGTGACTGATATTGCTGGTGAGGCAATTGCTTCGAGTGAGAGTCTTAAGAGGTTGAACTTGTCGTGGCTTGTTAATGTATCTGATGCTACTGTTGTTGCTCTAGCTGAAGGTTGCAAGAATCTTGATGCTCTTAATTTTACTGGCTGTGAATTTGTCACTGGTGAAGGTGTTCGTGCTTTGACAAAGCATAGGTCATTGAAAGAGCTCGTTTTGACTAGTTGCGAGAAGCTTAGTGGATATGATCTGGAAGAGTTGGTGCTAGGATGCCAAACATTAGAATACATTGTGGTTGATAGAAGATTAAGGATGTGGGTTCCTATGGAAGTGCAGGATAATATAATGAGAGAAAACTGTTGGATAGATTGGATATAACAGATGAAAGGGGAGTTAAATATCTCGTTTGATATGCATTGATCTGTTTTCAGGGTCCCCTCATTTCGTGATACCTCTCAGCAGTTATTACTTCAGGTGCAATTTCTGCCCAATTCCCATTATTTATTGCTGAAATGTTCCTTGTAGCCAAACAAATGTGCAAGGTACTTTTTAATGAATTTGGATACCGTGCTATTGGCATGTGCTGCTTAATATATATTATGCATAGACATTTCAATTTGGAGAACGCATATAGCAGATTTTGGAGATATGGTAATTCAAGAATCTCTTCCTTAAGAGGAAGTAAGCAAACAAGGAAGGCCTTTGTTGAAAGTAAGACCACTTCCAATCTTTGTGGCCTGATATAGTTTCTCTTAGCTAACCTATTGTGCACACCAGTTGAAATTCTTTCGTAGAAAAAGGAAACAAAAATCACCGCTCTGCAGCATCATGAACCATGCTTCAGTATAGGTTTCTTGTTAATCACAGGTTATGCATGACGATGTCAGAATGCACAATTTCATCCTCCATATTCTGTAATGGTTGGAAAGCTGGTGAAGCTCATCTTGTGAAACATCAAGGGGGAATGACATCATGTACACCTTTGGAAAATTTCCCATTTTACTGAACTATTTAGGGCTGTAAATCATCTGACTTTCCAAACGCCACAACAAAAGTATATCTTGAAACCTCTTTCCTGAAAAGATTGTACTTGCAACAATGCTGCTCTTCTGGCAATTTTTCCATGTTTCATAAGCTTCTTTGTGGTCTGGGTAACTGTTCATGAGTTCTCCTTTTTCTTTTTCTCTTATCCTTGTTAGTCAGCTCTCGGATATTGTGGTCGCTGGGTTCATTTTAGACCTAACTGTCCTCTCGTATTTAAGAGAACAACTCCAAAGAGGTTTGGTTGAGCGTCAGTCTTTTAAGTAAGGAGTTTATCAAACAACCCGCCACAAGCTATTTCTCCATTTACTGCATAGCGTCTCTTCACCACTTTGGAGGGATGTATTAGGGCATACTGGCCAGGCAACTTTGTATGAATTAGTTGGCCTCTTGAGAAGTTGACTCCAAAATGAGCCTGCAGTTGGTCCAGTCTGAAAAGAGAAGCAGTTTACTTTGCCCTTAACCTTTCAAGTTTAAAATAAGGAAGCATGTGCTGTGTGCCTCTTATGGGAATGATGACATGCAAAGTTTCTTTTAGGTGTAACAGGTCAAAGAAATTATGGGAAATTGATATGCACCGGAAACGAAACACATTAAAAGTATCTTCTGGTGGTAAGAATTGGGAACTGTATGGTTATACAAAGACAGGGTCCAATAGAGGAGGCGGCCATACTGAAACAATGTGAGCAAAGCCCAATCAATAAGTAAGTGCAAACCTTGGAGACTAGGGTTCAAACAACAAAGACAAAAACCAGTCGGTGATTTCTTTCCATCTGCCTAAACTGTGGTTGGCAGTTACTTGTTACCTGTGCTGGTGGGATGTAGCAGGTATCCATGGATCGTCGAGGCCCGCGCAAGTTGGCTACCATCATTACATAAAAGAAGGATCACTCTGAGAAGACATTTACTTCTGTTCACGTGCTCATATCGGATAGGCCATTTCAAAATAAGATGAGACATTGATGTTTCTAAAGACATGAAATATCGTTATGTTATGTGTAACTTGTACAGAATGTATTTGCCATTGTTTCTCGATTTTTCCTGATATTTGTTGCCTACTGATTCAAGTAAGATATACCATTAATATTTTGGTATCTTTTGCCAAGCTTTGCAACTTTTATATTTGTGAGTCTCATAGTTCCATTTCGTTTTTTGCAGAGGAATAGGTCGATTTCATTCTTCTGTTTCTAGAATTAAATGCAGTAGAACATTTCCAAAGAGCTTTGATTGCAAAAACAAAACTGACATGGACTTATTTTGACAGGTTTCAAGTGTTGAAGAATGAATGAGAAATGGAGTAGCAGCAGTATTTGCTAAATCTGGGTTTTGCACAAGTACATTGTTTCTGTACGCGAGAAAATGGCAAGTATTGGGCACTGAAAAATAGTCGGACTTGGAGAAATATTGCCATGTCAAGTGTGTAAGGATGGTTTCCAGAACACGATCTATGAATTACGATGGCATTTGTAGAATGCAACATGTTAAACTTGTCACCAGGTTAATAGCATTTTCCAATGAATTCTGCATCATATATGGCTCGGGTTACCAGAGTGGAAGTATGGACATGTTTCACCAACAAGATGCAGAGCCAAGTTAACACAAGTTGCTTTCTACTATCACTTATAGTCTTTTAGACTACACTGCTAACTATCTAATTCACTTAAATATGTTTTTTTTTACAATTCTTTTGACCATCTAATTGCTGTTTGTTCTTATAGTTATTATTCTTGAATTACATATATAATTTATTTTAATTTTTCTTTTAGTTTGTACCGTTCTTCGTTACAATCCGTATTCTATTTTGCTTTATTTTTATATTTGCTTTGCGCTTAAAGCTTCAAGAGACATCTTGGCTTCTTTTCCTTTTTTTACCTTTGATAGCACTGTCCTGAGCCTAGAGTTTATTTGAATTAACCTTCCTATCTCCATAAGGTAGAAGTAAGGTATGTCCCTATCTCCATAAGGTAGAGGTAAGGTATGCATGCACACTAATCTCCCGACACCCCATTATGTGGGATTATACCTTTGATAGCCCTGGTCACACACCTCCTATCCCCACCCAAAAAAGTAAAGGTTACCTTTAAATCTTTGTCGCAGCATTTCAAAAGAAATCTTTGTGGCAACTCCTTTAAACTTAACATTTTCTAAAGTTAGCTATAGGTTTATCATTTTTTAAAAATTGGGTTGTGTAAACTTAAAAATATGTGAATTTGAAAAATAGTACAATCATCTCAAATGGCACTTGAAAATGTGCCATTTCAAAACCTTTCTTAAATTTGTCAATAGAACAAAAGTATTCCTGGAATTTAAATATATACTCAATCATGATGAAAAGTAAAACTCTAGTGTTTGCATTGCCTATTGGTTCTTTACTCTTTTACTTGGTTAAGAATTTTATATGATATTATCACGAGAAAGAAAAAGACTTTTACAAACTAATAATCCACATTTCTAACAAAATTAAAAGACTTCTAAATATAACTTATTAAAACAGTGTATCGGTTTTATACAAACCAATCCAGTAAAACAGTTACACTTCCTTTCTTGATCCACTTTACTTGATTTTTTTTTACTATTTTAACACATAGTATTAAGAAATTCACTTTTTAGAATTAATTAACAATAAAATTGACCGTATTAATTTTAATTTGTTCATTAGAAACAAAACAAATACTCCTAGGTTCTTTACTCAAATGGCAACTTTAGGAGAAAAAAAGTTACTTCTTAATATTTGAAAAATTAAATATTATGAAAAAAAGCTAAAAAATCAATTAAAGCGGACTGACACTAAAATTTTGTTCCTCTTCGCCACGGGACAAAGTAAGAATTTTTTTTCCAGGTAGAAATGTGTAATTTCACAAACTCGAGGGGTTAACACGACTGCTTATATAAAATAACTCTTTTTTTTGTGCCTGGATATTCAAGAAAAAAAAACCTTTGCAGCATCCTCGTATCCTGATTGATTAGGAGTTGATGTGTCCACTGAAAATCTCATCACAAAAATAAGAATCTGAGAGACGAAAATTGTATTAACAAAAGAAAACAATGGCGTATTCATCATCTTCAGTTCGAGCACTTAGTTCATTGCTCTACAGATTCTCAAATGGGGTTTATCTTAAACCCCACCGTTCTTGCACTCTCAAAAGTATATACTCCTCCTATATATTAGCAAAAATACAAATAAAAATAAAATCTATGTAGCTTTTATTGATTTGGGTTTTATTTTCTGTTTGAATGAGCTAATATTTGATTATTTTCTTGCAGGTGCTTTATTATTAAGTGGGAAAATTTCATCTTCTTCATGTTATTCATCTTCTGACAAATGGGTCTTTCCTTTGGAACTTCAATCTTGCAATTCAGTCAGAAAGATTTGGACGTTTTCTCCTCTCTGTATGGGCAGGCGCTCCAGCAAAATTGCTGGCAGAAAGGTATACAATTTCTCTTGCTATTTTCGTGTAAATCATATAGTTCTAATTTTCTTTTTCTATTAGTGAAAAAAGGACGTCTTTTTTTAGTTATTAATTCTTTGATTCAAATAAGTGTTACCTCTGTCTAATCTAAATGATTTGGGATTTACAGAAATTAACTCAAATTTGAATCTTTCTCCGACGGACTTGATTTCATTTGCCAAAGAAAAATGATTTATTAATGAAATATGTAACCTTCTGGGTCTATCTTAACTTTAAGGTGCTCAGAAATTTACACGCCGAGAATTTGGTAAACCTATGTAATTTTTTTTTATGAGGAAAAAAATATGTAGCTATACAACAACATACCCAATATAATCCCACATAGTAGGGTCTGGGGAGGGTAGTGTGTATGCAGACCTTATCCCTATTTTGTGAAGATAGAGAGGCTGTTTCCAATAGACCCTCGGCTCAGGAAAGCATAAGCACCGCAATAATGAAAAGACAGATAAGAAAGGACAACACCGAGAAGCCATGTAAAAGCAGCATAAAAAAACAAGATATTAAGATGACCGAAACGACAGGTAGTCATAGAAATCTAATACCAACAGAATACGAGAGTACGTACTAATACTACCGGTATGAATAATCTAGACCACCTACCCTACTACCATAATCCTCGATATACACACCTTCCTATCAAGAGTCATGTCCTCAGTCAGCTGAAGCTGCGCCATGTTTTGTCTAATCACTTCTCCCCACTTCTTCTTCGGCCTGCCTCTACCTCTCCTTAGGCCCTCCAATGTCGACCTCTCACACCTCCTCAACAGGGCGTCTGTGCTTCTCCTCCTCACATGTCCAAATCACCTAAGTCTCACTTCCCGCATCTTGTCCTCAATAGGAGCCACACCCACCTTGTCGCGAATAACCTTATTCCTAATCCTATATTTTTTTGATGAAGTAAGGTATTGCGTTATAGGCATCAAGAAGATGCAAAAGGTTACAATAGAAAACTTGGTTAACTCTTAATACAAAAAACCATTCTAGAGCAGGAAGTTAACCAAGAGCAAAAGGGAATGGCTACTAAACCATTGAGAGAGAGCTAATGAAATCTAAGAGGGGAATAATATTATTTACAGGGGAAAGGTTACTCAAGCTGAAAAGACTCATCAAACATTTAGACTTTAGGTTACAGTTGGAAGTTGAAATGCCATCAAAGCATCTAATCCTATATGTAGCTATGTAGATTTTTTTTAATATGTAGAATATTAAGTGGCTAGTACTGTTTAGGCATTGTGATTCCATTGTTATGTTGTGTCAGCATTCTAGGAAATGTTTGTTTGTGTGACTTTGAGATCTCTGTGATGCATTTTAACCTTATTTGACTATAGTAGTACAAAAGTTGATGTGTTTCGTGAGGATAGATAGTCCCAACAACGGACAAAGTAGCCAATATTTATGTGTAAATGATGTAGTGTATTTTATTTCCCCAGACCCCACTTGTGGGATTATACTGGGTCGTTGTTGTTGTTGTTGATGTAGTGTATTTTATCTTTATAATTCACATGATTGTCCAGCAACAGTGTTTGGAGTTAGCACAGTTCTAATGTTATGTTTATTGGTTTAAGTCAATGATTTTATGTGCAGACTGCCCAGGATCTTAAGAAGGCAAAGTTGTACTCAAAAATTGGGAAGGAAGTTGTTTCTGCGTAAGTTATGCAACAGACAAATAGTTTTTCTTCTAAATCAAGCTTGAAGTGAATGGAAGATTCCTTTCTTCTCAAAATGGAACTTTTGAGCATTATTTTGATGTGGCATGAACCAAATGTCCTGACGTCTGTTTCTGTGACTGTTATGATTAACTAGTGGAAATGAGTACTGTTTCCTGAATGACCAGGGTTAAGAAAGGTGGTCCCAGTCCAATATCTAATACAGCTCTCGCTGCTCTGATCGAGAAAGTTAAGGAGCTTGATATACCCAAAGACATTGTTGAGCGCAATATAAAAAGAGCTTCAGAAAAGGGACAGGAAGCATTTATGGAGAAGATCTATGAGGTGTTGAGACATTTAAACTTGCATGCATTTGTTATCTAATAATCAACCATGTGTACACATTTACCTTTTTGCTACTCTTGATTATTGCAATTCAATGAACTTTTAACCCTTGCTCTATACCCAGGTATATGGTTATGGCGGAGTTGGTATCATTGTTGAGGTCTTAACAGATAAAGTAAACAGGTCAGTGGCAGCAGTTCGAGAGGTGGTGAAGGACTGTGGTGGGAAGATGGCAGATTCAGGATCCATTATGTTCAAGTTCCGACGTGCTCGGGTTGCTAATATAAAAGTCACTGATGTCGACCGGGACCAGCTCCTAACAATTGCTTTAGATGCTGGTGCTGAAGATATAATTGAACCTTCAATGGATGACTATGATACAGAAGCAAATTCATCTGAAAGGTTCATAATTCCTTGCCTTTGTATCTTCATTAAGGCTTCTCTTAGGCAATATCTCGTGAACAAAGTAATTTGTAATTTAAGGGACAGAACAGCTGCTCTACTTCAATTATTTGTAGATCAATAATTGATAAAGTTTATTCAGCCTCATTCATCATATAACCTATCCAGACTTTGTTTTGTTAGTTTCAAGGTTTTCTTGAAAATTTTTATAGGACAATATCCAGAGCCAAAAAGGTATTTTGCCTGATATTGCAAAATTATTTATTTATATATAAAATATGTAGCACTATATCATGGAGAAAACTTTTGAATCAAATAATCTCCTTCAATTGCGGTAGAAATAATGCCTTAGCTGAAAAGGATAGAAATGTGAGCCAATTTGGAAAATGTGCAAGGATGTCGCTGAAATAGCCTTTTGGGGCAATTTCAATTTATTGTGTCATTTTTTGAAGAGGGAAACTAGTTGAGCTCTGCAATCTTTCATTTTTGATTGAGACACTGACTTTTGGCATACTTCATGATGCAATGTTTTCTGTGAAAGTAAATCGTTTTGTACCAGAAACTGCAAAATAGATGATGCTTTTAACTGAAAAATAGAAATCAGAAATGCAAGACTTGCAATCGAATACTACCCTACCCTATTGCTCTTTCCTTTCGTGGAACTGGACCCAGATTTTGCTCTTATGGTTCTTTCAGGCATATATGTTGTTATTGCTAAAGAAACCTTTTTAGGACTTTTTATTCATGATTTGATTCTCTTTCAGTGCTGAAATTAAATTCTGGTAACTCTTTACTTTTGTTTATTGCCAAATCTAATGTGGCCTTGCATTGGTGTACCTACTACCCCCCCC